GAAAACAGCCTCCCCCGCACCCCCGGAGGCCCTCCAGAGGCTTCAGGGACCTTCAGGAGGCTTCCCTGAAGCCTCCGGAGCAGTCAAAACAACCCTCCAAGCAAACCAGAAGTCAGCTTCCTCAAGGTCCCTGAAGCCTTCGGAGTGCTTAAAACGTCCGTCCAAGCAAACCGGACGTGACTTCCGGTTTGCTCAGAGGGTCGTTTTGATTGCTCCGGAGGCTTCAGGGAAGCCTCCTAAAGGTCCCTGAAGCCTCTGGAGCGCTCAAAACGACCCTCCAAGCAAACCAGAAGTCCATTCCCAAACTTCCGATTTGCCCATAGGGTCGGTTTTTTGCGCTCCAGAGGCTTCAGGGAAGCTCATGAAGCCTCTGGAGGGCCTCCATGGGGGGCAGGGGAGGCTCTTTTCTCCCTCCTGAGGCTCCTATAAAGCCTCTGGAGCCTGGGAAGGGCAAAAAATGGCTTTAAAAAAGGGTGAACTCAGCGCCTCGCGTGCCCTGACAAATGGCTCCGCGTGACATCTGTGGCACGCGTGCCATAGGTTCGCCATCCCGGCCCTATGCCATGAAGGCCGTACACTTTGAATTGTACATGTAAGCCAGTTATCAACCATTTTGGTTCATAAAGCATTGGGAACCCATGGGTATAGTGTGGCTTGCCCATTGCTGCTTGCACCACTGCATTCTGGACCAGTTGTAGCTTCTGAGGAATGAGGATTAAAAGCAATAAAAATCCAACATTAAAATAAGGAAGAAAAATTACACCTACATCCACTATAACTACCCAATAATTAGTGGGACCACACATATCATCCTTTTCTAGACATGAAATGCATTTATTGGAAAGAATCAACCTATTGTAAACATGCCCAGCCCAAATATATAATATAAATATTGCATTAGTATATATTGTGATGTGTTAGTATATATGGTGAACTGCTCTGAGAAAACAGCTTCAAGTCACTAAATCCAACTGGCTCAAGAGGAGAGGGTCCTAGCTGGCTATAGTTTTGTAGATAGGTTTTTTTGATCCAGCCATCATTTGTATATCTTGATAGCTGGAGTCAAGGAGAAGTCCCAACGTGCAAAGCTGCTCTTATGGGGCAGCTACATCCACCTACATCCATCTCTGAATTCAGTTTTCTCCTTACCAACAGCACCACTCTGAATTTAATTTTATTTTGTTCTCCTTCATCCTGCCCATTATCAAGCTCAAGTGAAGGGTGTTGATTGTTCCTGTGGAATTAAATAAAAGAAGTAATAGAGCTGGGTGGCACAAGCATAGTGATGGCACTCTGTTCCAAAGTTCTAAATAAATTCCAAATAATCTACCCGATGGTTTCCGGTAGATGTTGAACCAAATAATATGATAGAGCTTTTTGGGACACCATAACACCACCATTTTGTTGAGACCTGGCAAGAAAGACTGGAATCTCTGTGCAAAACAATTTCCCTAAGGCACAAATTCTCAAGATGTCCAACTCCATCAGAGGTGTTGAAAGGTGCCAAGAAGTGCCTGAGGGATAGCAAATAGCAGCCCTTTAAAGTAGGCCAGATCAGGAAATAGGAACTATAGGAAGTCTGTTTTATTTTTATAAAAGGTGACAGAAAGCCTGACAGAATTTTGATTTCATTCTCTCTTATACCCAAGAGAATCAAGGTGGGCAATCATCTTGTCCTGGTTTTTTTTTTGGCCAAACTCATGACTGCTACATATCTTCCTCATACCAGTGTACTCCTCCATACCAATGTTGTATTTCTCCTCACCTAATTTCCAATGTACCTCATTCGCTGGGTAATCACTTTCATTATTCACCTTGAACTGGAAGGTTATCATTTTCTCAACCATCTTATTGAGAAATGGAATATTAGAGCCTGGCTTATAATTACAAAACTCTTTGAGGTGCAAAAAGGGCTTTTCAGTAAAGGTCACATAACTTTCTTTTTTAAGTAAGGGGCAAGACTTTCCTTGCTGAAGAAGTCATTAATCATTTCTGGTAACCATGAGTGATTCCAGTGTGACTAATTAGTTAACCAGGTGGGGAAAGTGTTGAGCAAACAGATGATGGGCCTTAACTTTTCCACATCCTCTGTCCACATCATCAAGATGTATAAGCAATTTTTAAAAATCCATATGAAAAGGGAGTAGAATCAGCCCCAATACTAGAATCTGCGGTAAATTCAATCTTTTCTACAAAAATGATGGAAAATTGCTCTCAGCTGTTCTGGTTCCCTTCCCTCTACATCTTAATGGAAGAAATATTGTGCAACATTGAAAAGCTTTTGCAGAACTCTTCAGTGCAAATGCAACAGAGGTAGAAAAGAAGAAAACACTCTCTGCTACATCCACTGCCACAAAATAGAATTGTAAGCAGGCTTTGGGGAGAACGCAAATCCATGTTAAAATCAAATTGTATCCAGATTCTCTGAAACAGTACTCAAGCCTACTATCAGTCTGCTTCATCCATTTCAACAGTCTGGTGACCCAAGATGCAATGTGATGGAATGGAGGGAAGAGGGCATTTAGGAATCATCTGGGTGAGCATCATATGTCACAAATTGGCCAGGTTTATCAGTACTGATAACAAACCAGGCTGGAAATTTGTGAAGTTACATTCAGAAAAGCATCGAGATCCATCAACCCACTTGGGTTAAATCATCTTAATTATTCCTTTATCCCAGCAGAGGTGTATAGCAAAATCCTATCAGTGTCAAAAAAAAATGTGCAGGTAAGTCCTTGGGTCATGACATCAGATGGGCCTGGATTTGACATTGCTAAGCAACACAATCATCGTCAGGTGTGGCATCACTAGTCCATGCCATTTAGCAACAACAGTTCCAGCAGTCCTGGTTGCAGTTGTTAAATGAGGACTGCATGGGTTCTTAAGGAAAAACCTTGCATGGCTGTGACTTCCAACTTCCTGCTGGCTTTCTCCGTTGACTTCGCTTGTGGGAAACAGGCAGGGAATTTCAGAAATGGCAATCATGTGACCACAGCTTGCTGCAGTGCTGTTGCCTGGGTTACAATTGGGGGTGGGGGCGGGGAATGTACGGCCACACCTGGAACTCTGAGGACCAGTCATAAGTCTGCCTCATACAACACTCTTATTAAGTTTGAACAGTTTTTGAATGAGTCATCATAACCCGAGGACCACCTTTCTGAGTGAGCTTAAGCAGATTGAGAGGTTAAATGCATCCCAACATGTTATCTGAGAAACAGACTGTGCTGCACACTCACACAAGAACGTATATCATTGTAGGTTAAGGGTTCGTATTATGTTGTTTCACTGCTCCTGAGACAAAGGAACTCAAGTGTTAAGATGTTGGTGTAGTGCCAGAGGGAAACATCCAGCCCATCTTGCTGTCATCCCTTCCCTCCAAATAAGAGGGCAAGACTTGCAGTCAATATTCCTAACCCTCTTTGCTTCCATAAAAAGTGTAAGATTTGAGAAGTGGAGTCATTAGAGGAAACCCTGCACACCACTTTTCTTCTCACGAGCCTCTTCAAGGAAGGATGCCATCGTAAATGGCCCTTTCCTACCCTGAGATGCTTTTCCTAGTCTAAGTTTAAAAAAAAAAAAACTCTGGATGCATTAACATGAAGGAAAGCTGCATGGCTCGAGCTTTTGTCTTTATCCTTTCACAAGGATAATTTGTTGCATGGATCACTCCCAGTGCCTCTAATGTGCACATGGCTTGCTGCCTCTGCAAAGGGGCTGAGAGCAATAGAGAGTGCATGTGTTTGACAGGTCTGTGCAACAGGAATCTGGCGCTCTGCTGAACATAGCAATTAAACATGCAGCTTTTTCTGTCTTAAAGGAGGGAGGGAGGCAACACACATTCCGAGGTTCTGCTAGGCTCAAACAGGAGACTGATGATTAACGCTATCCTCTAGAGGCATCTTTAAGAAATGAAAAAAGCACTATTAGGACAAATTTGCTGCTGCCTAGGAATGAATGTTTTTGACACATTACCATTGCTCTCGCTGATGACATGCATTGTTCTAAAATGCTTTCTTCTAGATTTCTGCGCAGCCATGCCGTGCCACTCCTCTTATTCCTCCACCACCAGAGAAACGGAAGAATGTTCAGACCACTGCGCCTGTTAAAAGTAAGAAATTGTCTTGCAAGTTGGTGCTATTGAGGATCAAAGAATGCTAAATATCAGCTTCACTGGCTTGGCAGTAAGTGGCTCTTTGTGCTTTTGAGGACAAAAAAGAAAACACTGGTGAATTGGCAGGAAACTTCATCAGAAATGGGCCACCTGTGGTCCTTCAGAGGTTACTGAACTCCAGCAGAAGGGTTCACAGTTCTTAAAATTTGTATTTTTCAAAAAATAGCACATGCAGAGTGGAGTTTTTTGGAATTACAATTGTTCTAATTAAATTCAATTACAGTCTGATCAGTAATATGTACTTAGGCATATATATATATATTTCTTGAATTTAGTCCAACCTGTTTCCAAATAAACTCAGGCTGTCGGGCTGAAGCTTCCATTTTATTTTGTACATTTGCTCATCAGGTGAAACATCTAAACTTTTCTTCTGGCAATTGAAATTCCTATTTACATACACAACCTAATAATGCACTCCTGAAATTTGTTTTCACGGTCTAAAACTGGTCACAGCATATCTAGGAGCAAGTTTCTGAGAGGAAATGTCGTTAAAAAACACATTTTTCCATTTCCTCTTCAAAGATAAATGATAGAAGGAACTGCTGCTGTTCCAACTTTCAATTAATGTGGCCTTCTGGCACACAGGAGAAAGCCAATAGAAAAAAAAGCCCACAGCATCAAACTACCACAGATGAGGAACTTGGTACAAATGCTTGTATGATTTCATCTGAGTGAAACATCCATATTCTTGTATGAAATTAAAAGTACGGGGTTAGGAACACACAACAGCTTGCAAATTTGGCCAAACCATTCTAGTCAGGTCATGGTTCAACTGGACTGAAACTCAGAATGTTTTGATTATTCTGGATTTCCATTAAGGCAGAGTCCATAACAGTCTTGCAGGGACAGTGATACAAAGGTGTTAGATCTTAATGCACTGTCTCCCAGCTCCTATGCAGTCACATGCCAACCATCACGGGAGAGAGTCGGAGCATTGCGGTCATAACAGGGAGAGGCAGATACGGCGGGGGCTTTAGGGCTGGCCATTACCGGGGAAGGAGGGTTCGCTATATCGCAGAGATCCCTCCTTCCGGCCCTATGAGTCCCACTCCAAGGTCAGATGGCGTGAGCAATCAGGACCCTGGTCTCAGGCTGCTGTCGCTAAATGCCAGGTCTGTTATTCATAAGGCTCCCCTCGTCCGGGACTTGATTGTAGACGAGGGGGCAGACCTGGCATGTATTACTGAGACATGGCTGGGCACGGGGGAGGAGTCCTCCTCGTAGAGCTGTGCCCAGACGGGTTTCAGGTGCTTCATCAGCCGAGAGCCCAGGGAAGGGGTGGCGGTGTGGCTATTGTAGTCCGGGAGTCTTTAGCTCCTCGTAGGATCCCTGCTCCGGAGCTTGCCGGGTGTGAGTCCCTACTAGTGAAGTTCGACCTCAAGGGTCAAGCGGGTTTGCGTCTAACGTACCTGCCTCCCCACTGCGTTGCAGCGG